TATAACCGGTGACCCGTTGCACATTCTTTTCATTATTTATTTCTTTGGATATTGTCCGAAGCATTACACATTATTCTTGCGTGTCATTGGCATCTCATCTTATACCATTGGATGATTCTTTTGATGGACATAACTATATTGAATTCAGTTTCAGCTACCGAGATTGAGAAAATAAAGTGTTATATTATTAGGTGTAATTTTAAGAGAATAAGCTTAGAGTTATATTATCTTTCCGAAGGAGAAGCATATGCTTTATAATGTTTTCTCGATGTTCCTGGTCAATCTGAATCGTTCGAAACCAAATTTAGAAAGAGTATGGGTGTGTATTTTTTACCTTTCATCGACGTTTTGATTTGTTTTGCGCGACAATAGTTTTTTTTTTTTAATTTCAATATTTGTTTCAACTGCTAAATAATTTAACATCTAGTAACGATCTTTATTAAAAAAGATGTATCCTTTTTTAGGTACTAAAACACACGTAATGTTATGTGGGGGAGGGGGTAATTTTAAATATCACAAAGTGTCAATAAGGGGGAGGTAGGAGTCCGAAAATCTTTAAAAAGCTGTCACATGATTTCTGGACTGGTCCAAAGAATGATAAAAGGCGACATTTTTACTATGACACAACAAAACTGCCTTCGGAACAATAACATAACAATATCAATAGAATGTCTTTATATATAGTAGAAAAGTCCAAATTATGCGTCCACTTTTTAGCTGAAATTTTAAAACAATTTTAAAAATTCAAACACTGTTTCAAAAATATTTGTTGGATGTAAGTTTTCTGTATAACTATGTTAGTGTAAACTAAATCGCCTCAATTTCAATTTCAATTAATCAATCAATTTTATTCCAAAATATTAAACAAATATTTAAAAAAATTGACGTTAAAGAGATAGTTATGTACAAAAATAAATAAAATATAATTTATGAGGGATTATACCAAATAAGCCCTCAAAATCCACTATTCCATCTATTGTATTATAATTTAAATACGTCATTTGTCAATACACTTAACAATATTAATTACAGAACTAGGGGAGACTGGGTACGGTTGTCCCACTTTTTTTTTTGATTTTCAATAATTTTGTTAAATTACTGCTTAGCATAGAGAAAGGTAAATTAAATAGTTTTTTGGATTTTTTCTGCGTGGAAATACTGAAATCCTGTTCTTTAATACAATGGATTAGTCATAAAATGAAATCAGACAAAAAAGAGCGAATGTCACCACCATCCTGGGGGTGGCATAAACACAGGTTAAAAAATAATAGCTATAAAAACAAAATTTGAACAAAGATTATGAATATGATAACAATATATAATAAAACAATTTTTTGAACAAAGAGAACAAGATATCTTCGTGAAATCTTTTTCTTTTTGTATTAAATTTTCCTTTACCTCTCTCTTTCGTATTTTGTCTCAGTTAATTTAGATTTTTTTATCTGTTTTTACCTGAAAAAGACAACAAAATACATGACACAATCGTACCTACAAAATTTGTCACAATCATACCCAACGCATACTTTTGAAAACAAATCATCGTTATGAAGCTAAATTATCAATGCGAAAACTAATTGCTGGTAATTAATTCCTAATGTTCAACTAACAGCAAAATAACAAAACGATATATTAGTAAATAAGTAATAGTTATTATTATAAGATATCGAACATGAAAAATTATTTTTGGCTTTTTAAAAGCAATGGGGTATACTATACGATAAATTCGTATGTTCGAACAAACATACTTTATCTTCCTCTTTTTGGACCCTATCTCAAATAGTTGTTAAGGCGACTGTCACTACCGTACCCAGTCTCTCCTACTAAGTTATAAGCGTTTTGGTGAAACATTTTGTGCAATAGTGTTTAGTTAGTGTATAAGTTCGACTGTTGGAACACTGGGCTCGTTCTTCAATTCATAACGTTGTCGGAGTTAGATTTTTATATAAAAATCTTGCTCGAATCTTAGAGTTCATAATAAATAATTATGTTCGTTCTCAATGCGGTGGGGCCTTTTTGCATTGTCTTGCAAAAGTTGCGATGTACTCGAACACGGCGCGGCGCGGCGCAGGAACACACTCCCGTACAAAAGCCGTAGGGTCGCGCGATGCGGGATAATAAAACTCTTGTTTCGACTTATTGCAATATAAGCCCGCTCTGACCGCATAATAAAATAAGAAACGTTTTGAATTTATTACTTTCAATTCTTTTGTTTCGCTCTCGGAACGAGTTTCGAGAAAAGAAAATATTCCAAAGAGGCGGTCGTTAAACGCGCAAGGATGGTGCGTTTAAACAAAGAGCTGTCGGGCAATTTTCATTCTATTGCTTCCGAAAGAATGATGCCAATATTGGTAAAATATGTATTTTTTAGGCCACCAACGAAAACGCACCTAACAAGTTAACTGATCGCTCACACAGAAGAGAGCGCACTGTTTTGTGTAGTCCTAATAGAGCTCTTAAGAACCATATTCAATCACAGAGTAAATCACAGAGCAAGTTGCGCTGACAAGGTATCGGATAAAAATTGCATTTACAGAATTAAAAATATTTTACAATATTGAACTAGTGGGGCGCATGGCATCGTGCCTTAGGGCAAATTGCTAGATTTTCCCGTACCAAAAATTATTATTATTTAAAAAGATTAACATTTTTGAAAAAAATTTACTCTGAAAAAATTAGGTTTTTGAGAAACCATAAATTTTTGACAAAAATTTACTTTTTTTTGAAAATAAAAAGAATTTTTGAAGAAGAATTTATTTTGAAATATTTTGGAAATTCAGAACATTTTTTCAAAGCAATCGTACTGCTTTAACTGCATAGAGACGAAATATCGAAGCGCGTAAGCGCCGCATGGCGTCTAACGGATAAACATTGGTTTATTCTATAGCTCAAAGGAATGTAAACAAAATTTATACTTTTTGTTAAAATCTCTATAAAATATCTGATGATCATTTTTAACCGCCAAATGAATTTTTTTACTTTTTTTTACTAGATCTCTGAAACCGCTAGACCTGCCTTCATGAAAAATTTGATCAGTTCTTTATCTTGTTAATACAAGTAAAATGTTTTTTGAATTTCCCCCCATATCTTCGGAACGGCTAGACCTGCCTTCGCCAAAAACTAATCAGCACGTCTCCTTATTAATACGAATCGAATGTTTTTTTAATTATTCAAATCGCTTCATCTGTGTTCACGAAATCGTCGACGAAAATTTGTAATGAAACACACACATATACACGCACACACACATACATACACACACACACATACATTCATTTTTTCTAAGGTATGCGAAAAATGTTCAGAAGGTTTTGAAACGTAAAGATATATAAAAATTTTCATTTTCGATTTTTTTGCGATTACTATAACTTGTCCTACGGGAAGTTATAAGTATTACCACAGTTTACTTTTCTGTTAAAATGAGCATATATTATAACTGTATTAAAATAAAAACGGGTTAAATTCAATGCAATATATTACATGGGAAAATGCAAGAAAGTAAGAATGCTTTTTGATTTTTTCTACATGAATGAAAAAAAATGGTATTTGAATAGCTAAATCTTTCATTTTAATAATTTAGTACATTATTCCGATATTTAGAAAAGTTTGTGCAAATTGCTTTAAGGTAAAATGCCACTTACAACTACAACTACCTATTTTATACAGTCATTTGGGACCAATTCTTCGGTAAAATAGACAGTTTCATAGCGTTGTTGTGGCAAAGCTACTGCATCTTTCTCATGTACATTTATATCACATATGCAAATTTACGTTTCAAGTAAAAAACGTTTGATGCCAATGCAGATACATAGCATTTTGACAGTTTTTACTGTTAATGAATATGAAGAAAGGAGATTCCCATATTATTGTCATAAAAACGCTTTCTTACAAAATATTCTTAACAACTTGACATTTCAGAAGTTTTTTTTTTCAAAGCTTTTGAAAAATTAACTGAATCCTGTAACCAGTTTGTCTACATCTATATTAGTTAGTAAAGATTTATACATTGGAACCTCGATTAACCGGACTAATTGTCGTCGATAGGCATTCGGATAATAAAAAATCCGGATAATCCTATGTATAAAGAATAATGTTATGTATCTATTAAAAATAATAAATACATACATAGATATCAACGAAAATAATGTTCATTAAGAAATTTTCACTAGTTAGATTACATTACATACATATACTTAAGTGCAGCATCCATCCTGCCAAAATTCGAATTGTAGGTATGTACATGCATTTAAATTAGTCGCGGTTGGTAGTCCGGATAATCGCGAATCTGTATAATTGAGTTCCGGATAATCGAGGTTCTACAGTATATAAAAATAAGTCCTACTTCTAGCTCTGTATAATTTTCTGAGTATTAGTATTTCTAGAAGTTTGAGAAAAAATGAGCCAATAACGATAGAAAGCAAATCTAAGAATTTTTTGCAACTTAAAAAACAGGAAATTAACCAATTGTTTTTCTAAAGTATATATCAGCCCTCCTATTATTTTTGCAAATCAACGGTTTTCGTGTGTACTTTTTTCTCATCTTTTCAAGTTTTTCTTTTGATAGCTCTTTGAATCTCTGGTTAGTTGGTAAGTCAGCCAAGTTATTGGCTGATTTTGTTCCTTTTGCATTATCGGCTTCTCTGATATTGGAAGTTTTAAAAATGAGCGGCACTAATTTGCGGTAAGTACGCTCAAATAATTTTGCGTTAAATTATATTTTATTTATATTGAAGCACATCAGAATCTGTAACTTCATGGTGATAATTTTTTGCACTTACTTATATTTTATGTACAAAATCAAAAACAAATTATACTTTTAACAAATAATTTATGAATAAATATGAATAAATAATATTCAAACAAACTGTGATGCAATAGCGATGTTACAAATCCACATTTATCTTAATAAATCAATAACGTTTTCGAAAGTGTACAATTTGTTATAAACAAAAAAAGTGTAACAATTAACTGAAAAAAAAAACGGAAGATGGACTTGATAAAACTTATTTCGTATCAGAAACGTATATAGACGATGATAGACTAGAATCTGAATCAGAATCACTCTGATCTTCATCACTTCCAGATGAATTGAAATCTTCCGACATACTGTCGCTGTCATCGCGCCTGAAATTATATAAATTACTTTTTTCACATTTTTTTTATTTTTTTATTGCATGCCGTAAATTTTTTATTATATTTAAATTTAAGATATTTTATAGCAATAGGATACATTTGTTAATAATAAAGTATTGCTGAAGTACATATACTTACTCTTCTCTTTTCTTAGAAGGCTTCTTTTTATTATTTTTTTTACTTTTCTTCGCCTTCTTAGTGACAGCTTTTGCCATAGTGTCGTAACGTTTTTTTGCTTTCTTAGGATTCCCTGAAGTTTTCTTTCGTTCTTGCGACTGGGATGATATAATATTTTAGTTATAGCATATTTAGTAAATATTTATATATATATATATATATATATATATATATATATATATTTGTATATATACGGAGTTTTTAGAGTACTATGATATTACTCTATTTGATTTCTATTTATTCAGATCAATTGTATCTGTTACTCAATATCTTGTACCACTAGTATATGAATTTTAATCTAACCACATGTTGCTTTGGAAATTGTAATAATTTTCCAAATGTTCTATATTTTCGTCGAGGTAAATTTATTTTAATTTCACCTTAGGATGCGGCGTGGCATGTCTAGCAATCCTCTGCCTCTTTTTCTTTTTCTCTGCTTCAGCTTTAGAAGTCCTGCCAACGCGTCTCTTTTTCGAGGGCACCAATTTCCTATCAGAGGATCTCTTCCGCTTATTTGCAACAATACGAGCTTCTCTTTTAGCTGTTGCTGCTAGATATCCGAGAGCGTTGGCAATTTGACGAAATCTCTCGGCTTTTAGTTTTCGTTCTTCGGCGTTAAGAACATCTTTCGGACTTCCGCAATGCCAGCATGTTGAATGCTAAATCGCATTCATCCAGATTTAATCACAATTTAGGAGTTAAATAAGAATAATTCAAAATTTTGTAAATGCGCAATATATGTGATTAGCAAAATTAGTGCGAAAATAGAGAAACTTGTCTCAAAAAGCAGTTGCGTTTAAGTACAATTTTTTTGTAATGTATTTTAATTTTTGAATATTCATATTTGTCGTAAAACATCTTGTAAATTTAGAACAAATTTGTACTTTAGTGTAGTTGTTAGGTAATAATTTCAGGAAGGCAAGCTTATAGTTTATATAAAAATCTAGAAGACGGTATGAAAATTGTTAGGACTTCTGCGAAGGAACAACCAGCCTTATATTCTCTATTTTGAAAATGAAACAAACAAATTTACAATATTGAATTTTTTTTAAAAAATCTTATCCATGTTTGGATATAATATATTATTAATAATTACATATATCATAAAATAATTATTTTTATATATTTGTATTATTATCAATTAACGATTTTGAGGAGCCGAAATGAAACCGTGAATTTCATGATTTGAAATTATTTGAATCCCTATACTGAATTGAGTTTCAGCTACTGATATTGAGAAAATAAAGTGTTATTATATTATTAGGTGTAATTTTAGGAGAACAAGCTTAGAATTATATTATCTTTTCGAAGGAAAAGCATAAGCTTTATAATGTTTCATCAATGTTCCAAGTCAATCTGAATCGTTCGAGACGAAATTTAGAAAGAGTATGGGTGTGTATTTTTCACCTTTCATCGACGTTTTGATTTGATTTTTGCGACAATAGGATTTTTTTTTTAATTTCAATATTTGTTTCAACTGCTAAATAATTTAACATCTAGTAACAACACTGAACAATAACATAACAATATCAATAGGGCGTCTTTATATATAATAGAAAAGCCCAAATTATGCGTCCACATTTTAGCTGAAATTTTAAAACAATTTTAAAAATTCAAACACTCTTTCAAAAATATTTATTGGATGTAAGTTTTCTGTATAACTATGTTAGTGTAAACTAAATCGTCTGCGGAAATGGAGGATTAAATATTTCTATCAATTTTTTTCTAAAATACTAAACAAATATTTAAAAAGATTGACGTTAAAGAGATAATAATGTACAAAAATGAATAAAATAAGATTTATGAGAGATATTTCCAAATGAGCCCTTAAAATCCACTATTCCATCTATTGTATTATAATTTAAATACGACCGTTGTCAATACACTTTTAACAGTGTAAAGTACTGAACTAAGGGAGACTGGGTACGGTTGTCCCACTTTTTTTGATTAGTTAATAATTAGTTAGTTAAAGATTAATTTTGTTAATTTATTAGTTACTGGGAGAAAGGTAATTTTTTTTTAAATCTTATCCATGTTTATTTTATATAAAATGTCAATTTGTTTTTGATCTAAATTAATATGTTAGGATATAATGTGTTATTTATAATCACATATTCCCAAAATGATTATTTTACTAATTTGTATTATTATTAATCAACGATTATGAGGAGCCGAGACGAAACCGTAAATTTTATGAAAATCTTAAATTTTTAGAAATATAGAATTAAAGAAAAATAAAAAAAATATATGAAGTCGTCTATTCTTTTGTGAAAATTTGATAAAAATAAATTCTTAAAAGAATTATTAATTCAAATATTTGGTAGTCTGATTTATTCGTATACAAATATAGATTTTTTATGTATTACGACTTAAAAATTTCAATTATATTCTGACATACCGCATGTTTAGGTTTCTTGATTCCTTTTAGTCTTTTTAAGGCTTTGTCCAAATTTTCCTGGGATCTATTCCGTTCTTTATTTATTTTTTTGTTCGTCATATTTGCATCACATTATGTACTGAAAATTTAGATAAAAAATATTGTTGTACAAATTCAATTTTATGCGACCATTTGTAATTTGTTGTGTCGATTACATTTTGTTTCAAGACTACTTTGATATTTTGTTCACACAAATTTTTGTAAAACAAATGCTATGAAAGGAATGAAATAAATAACTGTCTATTTTTGTGGTTTTTTAATTTAATTTCTTTTTCTTTCTATTGTTTGTTAATTAAATAAGCTATGCAAAAATATAAAGTCAATTTATTAACCCGATTATAAACAGAAAATGAGCTTTTTCAAATATTTTCCCAAAAAGTTGCTTACTATTTTGTAAACCTTGATGTTTACAGATGAATAGATGAGTATTATATAAATGCACTAATGGAATAAATTATTGGGAATTGTTTATATAAATATGCAAAGTTATTTTGCGTCAAATTATAATATTTTTTATTTGGGAAATGACGTATTATGAGGATGCATTTTAATTTGATTTCAATTAAGAAAATAATTTTTTTATACCCTTATTTCTTGATTTATATTTTCTAATATAACAGTAATCCTTATAACGTCTTACTCAGTAAATAATCAACAAACTAGTAGTATAATTTTGTATTTATGAATGATACATAATTAACATTACAATAAATATTTAATATTATATTTACAAGATTGCAACTTATTTTACAGTAAATTTGCTTGAATACTATGGACGTTATCTTTTTCTATCGATCAGTGCAAAATTATTAGCAATATAAATACTAATATCAAAGAAATAGACTTAATTATTTATTTAAATAAACTTATTACTGAAATTGATCTTTTCAAAATAAATTTAGAATTCCTACGCCTATTAAGCGGTTTAAAGCGTGTTTATTTTGAGGCTGATAAAATATTTTTGATTGCTTAACGGTTTCATATGTCTGATGGTTATTATTAAAATTATTTACTCAAATAAGGAATAATATATTTTAAATTAATTTCTATATCATTAACACCAACCCATTATGAAACCGTACATATATAAATATTTCAACATTAATATTTCTCTTTCATAACATATTAACATTCAGTTAATAAAGTATGCATACAAATTCTTAAATGACTATTGTCTTTAAATAATCATAATAAATATTACTAGAATTAGTTTAGAAAGATGTTTAAATGCGATTTTGTGTAGGTGCTTATTCACAATAATTTACATACGTTATATTCACATAAAATGTTCATATTTTAGATAAAAACAGTAAAATAAAATCATGCAAGTTTATAATTACCTTTATAAATTAAAAGTTAATATCATTATCTTTTATTATGTTTAGACCTGGTATTATCTCAATAGACGCAAAAATATAACATAAAAGTTCTAGGTTTTAATTGATAGGCTTTTACAAAGATTTATCGATTTTCCACTTAAATTCACGTAATAAAATATGTGAATAAGCACACCTTTTGTAGCAATAATATTTAGATCATGCAAACAAATGTTTTAAAACGTTATATTCATAACATCCAAACATGATGAATTATACAACTGCAAGTACATACATTGGGCCGAACAAAATTTTAAGCAATAATTAGGAAAATCTAATAACAGCAATCATATTTTTTATGATATTGTTTAGTTCATGTATATTTTCCGCAATATTGCTTGAATTTATTTAGAACAAATGTTATTTTTTCATTACTAAACATATTTTATAAACTTTAAGCTTTTTTCTAACATGTACATATACGGCTTTACATACATAATAAAAATTTAACACTCATTATAATTATTGTCCATTGAGATCATATTGCAATTGACAAGTACAAAATAATTAATTAAATACGGTTCTGCAAACCGAATCAAATAAAATAAAGTAACTCAATATAAATATAGGCTATGTTGCTAATTACAAAATCGTGGCAACATATTTGAACCATATTAACAAACATTATTTTCATAAATGTGCTATTAGAAATAGTTTTTAAAGCTAATATGAAAATTTGCATTTGCAAAAAATAAGTGCCGAATTTTAATACTGTTTACTTAATTTCCATCATCATCGCGGTAATTCATTTTAACATTTTTTTTTCAATATTTTAAATTGTATGATCAATAATTTTCAAGTTTTATATCAATTAATCATAATTAATTTAAAATATTGAATTTTTTTATATTATGATAGTCCTTTCTGGTTTCCAATTTTTAGTTTGAATTCGTGGTTTAATTATTTTCACAAACAACTTTTTTAGATTGTATTACTTTTATCATCTTTTCAATGTAAATTTTCTTTAGATAAGGTTTTTAATTTTTGACGATAAAAAATTTAAATGTATGGCAACTCTTGTTTTCATTTGTCACCATTTTATCACCTTTCATCATGATTACTTCAAAATGTTATATTTGAGTAAGGTCACAATTTCTTAAGATTTTTTTTACATAAATTTATAAGGCGAAAATTATTTTACATTAACTTATTATAATAATCGAATTATTCTATACAAAGCATTTTGTCTTTATTTATGCACAATCAGTTTCAATATCTGTTTGATAAATATTATGTATATTTGGCAAAACATTTAATACTTCTTATATGCAACAGAGTGAGGTATATATTAATACTAGCACACGTTAGATTATTATTTCGATGATATTATTAAGAAAATTAAAATGCAACAATTATTTAAATTCATATTAAATTTATATATTTTCTAACTAATATCTGTTTATTTAAGTAGTAAAATTATTAGTCTTTTTATTAATCTCTGAAATAGGTACCACAGAAATATTCTAGAATAAAGGCTACATTGATTCGAAGCAAAATTATCCGTATTCGACGTACTTTTGATTTATATTTCTAATAAATTCTTTTTTTTTAATTTATGAAATAAATAATTTTTATAAGTATTATTCTATTAATAATATTGACTATAGTTTTAAACTTATTTATAATCGTGATTTCATATAGTTTGAACTGTGAATGCATAGGCTAAATTTTAATTCAAAATTTAATCAATATATATCACATCTGGTTAGTATATTATCAGTGAATTTGATTTTTAGGCCGGAATTTGTGTCATTTCTGCAGCAACTGCGTCGCGTCTGCGCCTGCGTAACTGCTTCCAAAATCTACGATCCAACTGTTTGCTCTGAAAATAAATCATAAAAGAAAATTAGTACTAATAATAGGAAATAAACATCTAGTTTGAGAAGTAGATAGAAAAAAATATTGAGTAAAAAAAAAAAAACTACTACTAACTAGAAATTTTTAATCTAAAATCACTATGGTCTTCATCTTATTACTCAATTTAAAAGTTGTGTAAATTATACTCACGCAATTTTTTCTTGGGGAATTTGATTTATCGGCATACGTTACTGGATTCAATTCTTCCGTATCAGAAGCAAATATATTCAAATATTGGCGATCACCTGTCTCTGTGCCGAAAATGCCGAATCTATACATAGAAATTATACAATTATACATACATGGTATAGCTATATTTTGAAATTTGAGTTTTTATTTTATCTGTTTGTATATTCATCACACTAATCTAACTTAAATTAGTCTTTCTACTTAAAAGATAAATGAACAAAAACTTAAAATTGACGGGATACTAAAATTTTGTGTATTAACTAGTTGTAAGTAGCTTTCTGTCTTAAGGCAAGTTGTAGGAACTTCCAGATGCGTGTAAACAATCGAGGTAATCCATTAAAATTCAGATTTAGGTATATTAATGAATTGGTTCATCCCTTCATCTGTTAATTTCGAAAATTCAGTTTATGTCTTTATTAAAAACTAATCAATGCGATTGTCAATCGATGTCTTTCAAACAAACTTATAATGTATTAAATTAATGAATTAAAAATTAATTAATTAAAGGAATTAAAACAATTAAATTAATTCTGGTGCCCTAACATACGCTTGTATATCCTAAATTTGCTACTCATTACCAAATTTCAATGATTTTTTTTAAATTCAAATCACTTTTCGTAGTCTTCTTATAATATTTTTAACTTTCCGTAGGGCAAGTTATAGTAATCGCAAAAAAATCGAAATTGAAAATTTTTATATATCTGTACGTTTCAAAACCTCTGAACATTTTGGAATACCTTAGAATAAAATGGATGTATGTGTGTGCGTGTATATGTGTGTGTGTGTGCGTGTATGTGTGTGTGTTCGGATACAAATTTTCGTCGACGATTTCGGGAACACGGATGAAGCGATTTGAATAATTCAACAAACATTCGATTCGTATTGATAAGGAGACGTACTGATTAGTTTTTGGCAAAGGCTGGTCTAGCCGTTCCGAAAATATGGGACAAAAAGTGCCAAAAACGGTAACTCAGTTTTTAAGAGAACGGAGCGTCCGATTTGAATAATTCAAAAAACATTTTATTCGTATTGACTAAATGAAGAACTGTTTAAATTTTTGGAAAGGAAGGTGCAACGTCTTCGAAGATATGGAGAAAAAAGTAAAAAAATGAGCCATTTGGCAGTCAAAAATGAACATTAGACATATGCGCATCAAATTATCAGTTATTTTATAGAGATTTTAACAATAAGTATAAATTTAAATTTTAAATTAAATGTTAATCTTTAAAAAAAATAATTTTTGGTACGGTAATGTATAAGTTTTGGAAGTTTCAGCAATTTGCCTTAAGGCACGATGCCATGCGCTTCACTAGTTGTATGTGATTTCATACTACGAAATATCTTACAAACAGTTTTTTCAAAATTTGTCCAGGACTTTTGGTTGAAACGTCGAATTCTTCCATCGTTTAACTACTCACATGCCGTTCTTGCTGGCAAACAGTCCAGTTTCGTCCCTACCGATCTTGCGCGCCCTTGGACTGGATGTTCTTTGACTCATGTCCATAGGGAAGAATCCAGATCCTGTGCCCGACTCGCGGGGTCTCTCCCGGCACACGCTCGCTCGGCGTTGCTTCTCGAGGCGCGCCAATCGCTCCATCTCCATCAGCTTGGTCGGACCCCGATGAGCTGGAGTGAAAT